ATTGCATTGGATGTGTAGATCAATTTCAGGAGAACTAACATCTCAACAGTATCTTCATGACCCTAGGATAGGCAAAGATTACTTAAAGAGAACATAAAAAGGACTAACCAAAAAAGGAAAAATCAGAGGGTCTTAGGACCAAACCCAGATATAATTTATGAGGTCTAAAGTGGGACCCCAAAATCTGCAATTTTAACAAGCTGAAGTTTAAATCATTAATTTTATAGATGAGAAAAGCAGCTCAGGGAAAATACGTGAACTTACTAAAATCGCTCAGTGGGTTATCAGGGCGAGGTTTAGAACCCAGGAATTCTGGTTCCTTATCAAGTCACTCTCTGTCATTTACTTCCTAGGCTTGCCACTGCTTAATGCAGATCCAATATGTACATTTTAAAATATATAAATTGAGAGATTTTTACATGCTTTTCCCCTTGGATTTTGAGAAACTGCCATGAGCATCACACAGACTTAAGGCAGAGTTAGTTTCTTGGCAGCACTACTGATATTTTGGGCCAGTTGATTCTTTCTTGCAGAGAACCATTTTATGCAATGCAGGATAGCAGCATAACTGGTCTCTATCCACCAGATGCCAATAATATTACTATCCTGCCCCCTCCCAAATTGTGACAATCAAAAAACTCCCCAGACATCACCAAATGTCCTGAGGGACGGGGAGGAGGGGGGAGAGAAACACTGCCTAACTTGAGAGCCACTGACTTAAGGAATCTGAATCACATGACCAAAGCAGAGAGGAAGCCACAGCATAAATCCGGCACTGAGGAGTGTCTGCCTCCCAGAGACCTTACATGAGATTCGTGATTATTCTGAGGAAGGAGGAAGATGAAAAAGCCATACATGCGACTGGTGGAGTAAGGAAGCATCAAGGGCTAATGTTCATTCCCTGAATAAGAGAGAACCTGGATGTTTTATTTTTCTAAAAATTCCATTCACATCTACCAAACAGGAAATTTTATCTTAGTATATATTTATTTTTAAAAGAATGACATGTAAAAAACAGAAAAACGTGAATCTGCTTCAACTGCCAGCTCAAAATATTTACTTTTCTCCTTCATCACCACCACTGAAGCACCCCTTTCTTCCCTTTTTTTACTTTTGCACGTGCGCAATGAATTTAGATTTTATACAACTGGCGATCTCTCAGAGATGCAAAGGGGTAAAAAAGTAATCCAGCACACTCCCTAGGGTGGTTATAAGATCTGGGGC